ATGAGAATGGATCTATTTACGAAGCCATGTGAATTGTTTTTAATACTGCCAATGAAGCTGGAGTTGTCACCACGCCTGGAAGCAAGTTAACCTTGCGCTGAGCAGGATCTGGAGATTTGAGTACTACAAGGAGGCATAAATATATGGATGCCCTGCTCATAGTAATTGTTTTGCAAGAAGCTGGAGTTTTTTTTTAGTTGCTTTTGCTGCTTCACAGCAGAGTTTTGACTAGTGTCTTCTGTTTCTTGAAGCTATTAGTTGATCCTTTGCTGAACCATTCGCATTTGTGAGGACTGAATGCCATGCTGTGAATCAGCAGGAGGGCAAGCCATATGTTAGCCTGATCTTGTAAAGTGCTGGGCAGCCAGAGCACCCTGGTGAGGCTCAACTTCTCTCACTCTTGGGTTCAAGTTTCCGAGCTACTTAATATGCAAACGTAAGCCTGTAGGACTGTAATATTTACTAGATTGCTGGAGAACTCTATTTTGTAGGAAGATGACGTGCACACGAAGGCAGAGCTGCATGAAACTGTTGTATCAAGACCCAGTTCTTTCTGTGCTGTGCCAGGTCTTGATGGTAAATGTGTTCCCTAGTTGTGAAAAGATGAGAAGGCTGCAACTGCCTCATGGACCTCCTTCTTCAACCACCTACATGGTTTTTTTTCCTCATTTATGAGGCATTAAGCTTTCCTAGATGTAAGCCACATTTTATTATGTGTCATTCTGCACAGGTGTGTGAATAAATACTTTACCAGTACCTTGCTTGTTTACGTGAAGAAGCCTTTGGCAGTTCTGTGTGCTGGTTACTTGCAGAGTTTTAAAAATGACAGCTTTAGCTGGCGTAGGAAAGTAGCTTTGCAGAAAGCTTCATTATACTGGGATTGGAATTGGACATGCTGGAATAGCTCTCTGTCTTTAGAAGTTAATTTATAGCTCAACTTAATCCTTTACATGCCCTCAAATCTGGAGTCTGTTACTACGACTGTCTGTAGAAATGTCTTCTGACTTCAGTGTATTAGCTCTCAGAGTTTTATTTGGAAAAATACAAAAAGATATCCTAAAAAGGGTTGGACTGCGTCACTGGTAAATGGTTAATAGCATGATGATTTTATTACAAATGGGTTACAGGAAAATGATACGAACAGCTTGGTGAATAAAGGTGATAATGAAGAAGGTGAGTCAACCCAGAAAAATCACATGCCTTTGCTCTGGCACTAGATCAGAAAATAACAGTTGGACATTTTCTTGCTGACTTATTTGAAAGCAGGGTGAGGTACTGAAATAACTTGAGAATTAAACAATGATTTTTTTAATCTGTTGCTTTTTCATTTCTAGTAGATTAACGCTAGATTCAAGACACCCCTTCCATTACCTTATCTATGTGAACTGGTGTTAGTGAACTTTGTAAAAGTCGTTTCCTAGGGATAGCATGCTGGCCAAGGTTAAAAAAAGAAAAAAAAAGTCATATCTGTAATTATAACTGATTGCTTGATACCTATTTGCATACAGTCCTTTCTTCTTTTCTTCTGGTATACTTTTTTACATTAATGCTGCAGTGATGTTTTCCCTGCTAAGTAGAATCATCTAATGAAAATGAGTGTGTTTGCGAGGCCCGGTACTGGTTAATTTTGCTTTCGTTTAGAATACTTGGATTTCTGTTGAGGGTTTTATTGGGTTTCTGCCTGATAGATCATCTCATCAATAGCTCAGCTCTCCCACCCCAGAAATGCTTGATGAATTCTGAAATGTCAAAGTAACATGGAAGGGACATGAGTAGGCAGTCACAATTGTGTAGTAGCTTTTCTTTTGCTGCGGTATGCTGAGTTTCAGTCACTTCCAGATACAAGAAGTGAATGTTGCTGTATTCCATGGGAAAATGTCTTGGAAATAGAGTAAAACCTGTTAAAATAATTTGCCTGATTTAGTGAATCTGTCAATTGAAGCAATGCAAATAACTTTTAAGTCTTGAGAGTGATTAGTACTGGGGGAGGCGGAGGAGAAGGCTGATTAGGAAGAAATGGGAGGAGGATTAAACCAAACTTTCCCAGATTAGTGTGCTCAGCAATGCAGTATGACCACTAGGTCAGCAGAGCACTTTGCCTGCTTTCTGTTCCTTATGCAATGTGGCTGTGCTTCAATTTGCTAGCTTAATTTGATTTGTTTACAGCTGTTTGAGGGGAGTGGGGTGGGGTGTGTTTGGTTGTTGTTTGTTTGGGTTTTTTTCCTAGTGATACAATGAATGGTTTTGTACCTCTAATGGGAGCAAAGTCTGGCAGAGGTTGGGAGGGAGGATGAAGGACCCAGGATGAACTTCCACATGGGCAGGGATTGAGCAGCAAGGTTTTTTTTGGTGTTCTGACATAAAAAACGGAGCCTATAAAGGAAAAACGCGACCTACTGGCATCAGTAGTATATCAGTGATGTGTGGAACTGTTGTCCCCAAATCAGCCCAAAATCCCAAAGTACATTTTGTGTCAGGCCCTTGCATCTCTTTGTTCTGTACCTGGGGTAGCATGCCATGAATGGCTCTTGGGGTCTATATGTGACTGTTGTCACCTGATCATATACTTCATAGGATGTTGTTAACTTACACCCTTTTGAGACCCTCAGGGTTTATGTATTCCCCCATTATCCTGTCACGTGCTGGAGGCTGCTCCTGGAGAGTGGTGATCACTGGAAGATGCTTCTTCCACACACTGCTTTGCATTGCCCATCCTCAGACTGTCCCACACAGATGAGTAATTATGCTCTTTGTTACTCTTCGGATATTGGGTGAGGAAATTGAGGATCTGGTAGTCTTTAAAAACCAAACGTGTAGAAGCTTTGAGGATGGCTAACACAAAGGAATAGGATGCCTTTGGTGTCAGCCCATTATTCTGAAGCTTCTTTTAGTGTTAGCAAGTTTAAGGCAGAAACACTTTTTTCCCAACAGTCAGAACAGACAACACAGTTGCAGACGTTGCAGGAATAAGTGAACTGAAACAAAAAGGGGGGGGAAGAAGGCATGTTTCTAACACTCAGTTTATTTCAAAAGATCTCTCTCACCCTGACCCAGCTGTGCAACTGACAGATGGCATCACAGTTGCTGTGTGAGGACTTAGTCTTCTTGCAGTTTTTACTGAGCTCTGTCTTGGAGGTTGTGTTTATGAAAAAGATCCTAGGTCTGAGAACCTCTGCTTCTTTTTGTAATTTTAAATTCATCTTTGGATGCCACCCACATGCATACAAACAAACAAACCCTTTTAGTGTCATCAGTCCACATAGAAGGAGTCTCTCATCCTTCCTGTCATCAAATCATTGCTTGCTAGCTCCCACTTTGAAGGTGGCAGTTTCTCAGGTGTTCGTACAGCCTGGGGGCAGATAGTTAAGGCTCATTCCTATCCTTGCCTGAGCCCTTAACAAAGTTTGTTAATTTATTATAAAGCATGACATCCTTTTCCATCCACTGGCTTGGGAAATACTTAAATGCCAAGTGCTTGTGTAAAGCCTTTTCATATTAAAAACTACACGGTCTGCATAACCAACCTGGAAATCTTACGTGAATCCTTGGCATTATTATTGTATGGAAGTGTAACTGCTATTTGGTCTGAGACAACAAACAAGAACAGTCCATCACTGTGAGGTGAGAATAGTTGTGGGGTGCACACGATCTGAGTTTGGACCCAGATAACTCAGTTCTGAGACCTTGTTTGTACCTTGGAAGGCCTCTGGTGTCCCGTCTCCAGCCATCTCTGAGTATTATCACCGTGGTGTTTTAAGTTGGTCAGAATTAGCTCACTCATCTTTTTCTCAATGTGTTCACATACAGCTGCTGTTACCTGGGCTATGTCTATGTTTCTCTGTTCTTTCTGAGCACTTGGACATACTTAAGGCTCTGGACAAGTGTTTGGGCCTTGCTGTCCATATTAACCCTCCCTCCTGGCGTGCCAAAGTGGTGCAGAAGCACCAGCCTGTAATGCAGTATGTCAGAGGCGGCATCAGGCTGAAGTAAAGGGTGCTTCAGAATCTCTGGCCCAGATAGGTAACTGTGCCATGCTCTGTGTGCTCAGGATGACAAGAGAGCACACAAACTCTGTCCCAGTTTTAGTGGCTTTCTGTACCAGCCCAGCATAAAGGGTGCTACTAAAGCCCTTCAGAGATTGCTCAAGTTTTACAAACTCTCTGTGGCCTTATGTATTTTTAGAGAGGAATAGATTATGCTACGGTTTAACATGGAATTAAATGAAAAGTGATTAGTTTTCTGCATTACTGAGGAAGAGAAAGATCTGACGGGTTAAGACAGATCGCAGTTCTCCCCTTCCCCTTTTTCTTTTATTCCAGTTTTAAGTCATTGTTAACAAATCAGGAAGAGAGGTGTTGGTTATACTATTGTTAGGAATACACTGAGTAAAGATTGACATACCCAAATTCTTGTCTGTTTTTTTTCCAGCTGTCAAGCAAAATTATAAAACCTACCTACAAGTCTTGCTTTGCATAAGCATGTCTTAAGGATGTGTGTACCTTCATTGGCTAGTTTAGCCATAAGAATACAGAATTATGTGCTGTTTTGTACTCCTGTATCAACTTAAAGCACTGTAATTACATCAGTACGTTCCCTGAGCATAAATACTTTATATAAAGGCACATCTTGGTTCTCTTTATTGCTGTAGATTTTGGGGAAAGACGATTAACCAGTATGAAACATTTTTATGCTGGTATGCTGCTTACATGTTTGAGTTTGTTCTAGTTTTGTTATTTTGGGGGGTGGGAAGGGAACCCAAAACTAAACCCCAAATCCTACCTCCATTCAAAGTGGTTAGACAAACTGTGTTGATTAGTTCTGAAGTGTACCTGTTATTACTGCTTCTCTATGCAGATATATTTGGGACTGGTTGTTTGCATACAGCTGAAGGTTTGTGTAATTAGCTGCAGATTCAGTCAAGAAGCTGGTAACAAAGTAGTAGTAACAATAGACCGAAAGGCCTTTCATTATTTTTATTAACATGTCACTTTTGTTTGTAGAATGAAATGTGTCTTGCCACACAACAGCTTTCGAAGCAGCTTCTTGCCTATGAAAAGCAGGTATGTTCAACACATGCCTTTGATTTCTTTTCAGCTTCAGCATTTGCGAAGAAGTGTCTGTAAATAGTGTAGTTTCCAGAAGTGCTTAGGACATTGGCTTTACTTCGTTTCGTGTGAAGGCTGTTGCAAATTTCCCCAGTGTGTTCCAGGGAGTTACAAAACTTCTAAGAATCTTAAAAAAAAAAAAAAGGTGGAAAATGTCATTTAATAAATTAATGAAGATGCAAACCAGTTTGTTCCTATTGTATGATTATGACTTTAAAGTTAGTATAATAAGCATTAATTTTATGTTGTCCAAAATCCATTCATTTAAAACAAGAGGAGCAGAGTAAAAGAGTGTGTATTAATGTTAATGTTTTGCATTTAGTTTTATAGTTTATTGCATTTTGTAGGAGTATTTATTACCTCTGTTGTAGAACACGTGTTGTATTTTATACTCACCTTTATGGATTTACAGACCAAATGTATGTTTCTTTTTTCAGCATTTTGCCTTAGGTAAAGGAGATGAAGAAGTGATATCCACCCTTCATTACTTTTCAAAAGTTGTGGATGAGGTAATTTGAATTGCCAATATTCTATTTTTACAGTATAGAATCTTGGTGTTTTTCTTTCGATCTTTGTCCTTTTGATTGTGAGCCTTTCTACTGATTGTGCCTGCGCTTTACAGAATCATTTAATAGAGGGGAAAAAGAAGTATAATATCAGCCTTTCATAATTGTTAGAGCTGTTTCTGTGGCTTCATCCCACATGCTGTCCTTGGAGCAAAGCTGAACTTACTAAATCGGCGAATTAGAAGAGAGACTGAAACAGGACATTTCATCTAGGCTGAGGCCATTTTTAAGTTAATTCCATGTAAAAGTGACACATTTTTAAGCTTTAAACGCTGTGGTTTGAGCCAGAACCTGCCAGGGGTAGATGCAGGGCAGCTGTGAATTAGCAGAGTTGCAGTTTAGTTGCTGTGAAATCACGCAGAATCCAGAGATGTGTGAAGGAGGCTGCAGAAATGCCTGCTGAAGGCAGGCTGGGTACTGCTGGGTACACTCAGCTGTGTGCGCTGAGCACTTCTACTCTCTGTAGGTTGCTGCTGAGTTCCAGGAGTCTTTTTAAATGGTTTTGTTAGACCCACCCATGTAATATTTCAGTATAATCTTAGTATCTAGGTCCTTATTGCTTAAGTGTCATTTGTCACATCACTTTCTGTTGTGAGCAGGGCTGTGCCATCAGGTAAGTGTTGTTCTTGTTAGTCTACTTTCATTAAGAAGGCAAAAGGCTGTATTGAGGTCTACTTTTCAAGAGAGGTGAACAGATAGGAGGGTTTTGGGGCAGAAAATAAGTTAAAATTTTCAGAGCCCATGGATAGCTGTAATAATATAGTGAGAGGAATCACAAAGGTTAACTTTTCACTTAGGCTTCTCCTGCTGCATGTCTGCTCTCAGGGAATACTTGAAAGGAGCATTTATTGCCACAAGTCTTGTACTTGTCTATGTGAACGACAGATAAATCAAAACAAGATCTATCTCCTTCCCAGGTACAAGAGAAGCATCCCATTTGGGAGCAGAAAGCTGAGAGCCTCTCTGTTCAGTTCTGTCCGTTACATTTTCCCTCAGAAGAGCTTGCTCCATTCCTCAGCCTCCTTTTCTGTGTGTTAGCTACCCCCTGTACCTGTTTCTTAGTTGTCCGTTCTACTGGAATTCAGTTGTCCTCGTTTAGTTTTGTATTGTCTAGTGGGTAATACTGACTTCACCTCACCTGCATAACCCTGCGTGGAGGCCTCCAAGATACTGTCAGCAAGTGGGCAGAGTATCATGTTAGCGTGTGGTGTGCTCCTAGTTGTAGTATCAGGTGCTCGAGCAGTGTGACTGATAGGTGTCCTGCCTGAACCTGTCCAATATTCTTAGTATGCCACTGCTGATGTGAGAGCCTTGCCTTCCTCCTAAACAGCATCACACGACTGCTTTAAAGTATGTCTCGATGTGCTGAATTTTAGAGAAACACAAAAACAGGAACGGGAAGCCGCTCTGAAGGTGAAATATTTGAATGGGACCTTTCGTTGTGTTTGCCCCCTGTTGTGATTGTGTCACAGATAACCCTCATGATGGAAAGAGGTTCTAGTTATGGTGGTGGGACTGTAACTCTGTGGTGCAGGGGCTAACAAAAACTTGTTAATAAAGGCTAGTTACAGATTAAATCCTGCTGGGTTGAGTATTAGCATTAATGGTCAAGTGAACTGCCCTGATACGGTATGTGGGAACTGAAAAGTTCTTGGATCCTTGGAGAACACCGGGTGGGTATTAAGCATTTAGAGGAAAATCCCCATCTGTCTTGCACATGTTGAGAAATGTATTGTAAGCACTAAAGTACGTTGAAGTACATAATATCCTTTCTTTGTCTGCTGGGCACAAATGTTAGGTGTGCTTCTTCAACAGCTGTAGAGTGCTGTTATTTTTTTTTATTACTTATTTACACTGTGTCTTAGGGCATTCCTCTGTGCTCTGTTTCAGCTCAATATTCTTCATTCTGAACTGGCAAAACAGCTTGCAGATACAATGGTTCTACCAATAATACAGTTTCGGGAAAAGGATCTCACAGGTAAATTTTATTTTGAGTTTTAATTTTCCTCATGTGTTCCTTCTTACTTATTTCATAATACACTGAGACATAAAGTCATGTAATAATTTGTTCTTTGATTCACAGATAAGTTTATTGTGTGTTGTTTTTTTTTTTTCTACTACAGAATTCCATGGACAGGTGCATGCTTTTACTCAGGCTTAAACAATGCAAGTTCACCACATAAAGTTTTATGCACCACATGGTGCAAGTTTGCAAATACACAGCTTTGTTCTTTGTTGGATCACTACTTTTACACTAGTGTAATTTTGACATTATAATGGCCTAAAGAAGGAAAATTTAGCACTGAATCTGGCTTGCAAACAGTATTTATCCTACTTCAGAAGTTCGAGTTTGTTTGAAAAGCACAAGCAAGAATGCTTTTTAAACTTCATAGCTGTTGCAAATGAGTGGTTAGATCGCTTAAATTATCACTCAAAGGTTTTACAAGAAAAATTTTACCGAAAATTTAGAAAATGTGATCTTACCCAGTTCGTTGGCAAGGTTCACTCTATGACTTATCGAGTGAATGGAATATAAAATCGAAGGAGGTTTTGAGTGGAAAATTATTTATACAAAGTAAAAGTGTGAGGGGATAGGGAGACCCTCCCACTGAGTCACCAGGTTCAGACTGGACCCCCCTTGCTGTCTAAACTCCTTCTCAGACCGGAGCCTAGGTGCAGCTAGATCCAGAACCGGCCTTAGACCACAATGGTTTCTATCTAAGGAATCTGTTTAGCAGCAGTTCAGGGTGTGTTCACAGTTTAAAGAGAATCACAGGGATTTAGCAGCTATTAATCACTGGTTAACTTAGCATTTACAGAGTGATTAGAAAGAATTTGCTATTAGAATCACAGTAATAGAATATGATGTTTTGAGTCGGTTCACACACACACCACACACACACGCAATCATAAAAAAATTCACCTCGAGTTCAGCGAAATTCTTCATATCAAATGATTCCTCAACGGGCAAAAGTTGAGTCTCAAGGAGATCAGCCCAAGTAGTTTACGAGTTACTCTGAGGGTCGTCCCACTCAGAAGGATTTACTGGGTCCTTCCTTGGTACCACTGTTTATAGGGTCTCAAGGGGGCTGCACCACCACGACAGTGTATTCCCTGCCTTTTAACCGGTCAGTCCGCTTTAAATCCTTGCTATCCAAGGGTAGTTCCAAGTAACCTGATTGCACAAACTTGAAAATTCATTACTTAAATGGCAGAGCAATAATGCAAACATTTGGTGTAATTTCAAACAAAAGAAGTTCATGTTCAAGGTCAAGGACATTCGAACCTACTTGTGCAACAGAAACATGAGTTTTTACTGCAGCGTTTTCTTTTTTTTTGTTTTTTAAAGCCCACTTTTCAACTGATTCAGCTCAGTCCTGTTTATGTACTTTTTTTAAAGACATCATTTTGTTGGGAGATAAAACAACTGTAGCAAAATAGTGACTAGTTAAGGTTCCTCATAGCATCTCATTTGAAATTCTGAAGACATAAATGGATGTCTTGTTTATAATACAATGTCAAATATAAAGCAGTATTTGGATGGCAAAATCCTGGTTCTGTAAACACTGTCCCACCTCTTTAATGTGGCTTCACAGATACAGTGATTCTGCCCCCCAGTTCACAAAAGAAGACATGAAAAGAAAACGCAAGTGAACCCCGCAACCAAAGCCTCAGCTGCTTCATGACAAAGAATGAAAGTTTCTTTAGCTTCCCTGGATGTCAAAATCTTTTGTTCTATCTGTCACAACCTCCGTTTTTCTCTGACACAGTCTGTGGAACAAGGTTTTCAGTAGAGCCTGGCCATACTGAAATTTCATCAGGGTTTTGCCAGGTGCAGCGTACATTGGTATGGACACCGAGAACAGCTTGTCTCCAGCTCGTGGGAAAGCTGGGTCGCCTGTTTGCCTTCTCTTCCTTTCACCTGCATCAGAAACTCATGGCCAGTGTTTGTTGCGTAAGCATCGTAGCCAGCAGTCAGATGTGTTAGATACACATTGCTTTTCACAGAGAAACACAGCAAAAAATGTTCCATCTTGATGAAGATTCATGTACAGGAAAGGGGCTTAGTTCGTATGTCTCTGGGACTTAGATTTCTCGGTATCACAGGAGTGTTGTCAGGAAGTTGTTCAGAACTGCCGATCTTTTATGCTAGCAGTGGGTCTTTTGTCACAACAAGCGTACCGAAGTGGTGCTTCTTTGGGTAGATTACACTGGCAGATAAGGAATCTTTTTCACAGTGATAACTTGCTCAATCAAGTAAACTCACTCGACTCTTAATTTGCTATCTGCCGCTTCATTTCTCTAGCACCTAATCTGGGTTATCATTTTCAAGACAGGCATAACGTGTGCATCTCTGCTTTGAAAAGATTGGAGTGACTTAGGCATTAAATGTGCCATAAATGATCTCAGTTGAACAAAGTGTTTACAGATGGTTTAACTTTGAATATTTGATTTCTTTTTTCCAGAAGTAAGCACGTTGAAGGATCTTTTTGGCCTTGCTAGCAATGGTATGTTTCCCTGTTTTGTTTGTTTCTAATAGTGTGCACGTGTTATATCACAGAAGACATTTTTAATCTATGCACACACACATCACATTTCTAAAAAAAAATAATATTCCTTGTCTACAGAACATGACGTGTCCATGGCAAAGTATAGCAGGTTACCGAAAAGGAAAGAAAATGAAAAGGTAACGAACGTGAAAGGGAAAAGGAAAAGTTTTCGTCAGCTGTTCTGTCTGCATTGTTGTTCACTTATGAACTTTGGAGAGTTCATCAGTTAAATTCACAGTAGCTCAAGAGCACTTGTGATTTCATTTCCAACCAGACACAAAGCTTTTAAACATCAGTTCATCAGAGTTATACCTGTTTTCTCAAAGTTAGGCAAGCGATCAAGTATTGCGCTGAACTAGAGCCCTTCAGATCCAGGGGAGCTCTTCAGACAGAAGCAATCCAAATGGCTATAAATAGATTTGTGTAGGCCTGCTGTTGTACAGCTGATGTGATGATGCTGTACCACTGGGTACAATTCGTTGTGAACTGTCACGAAGCCTTGTGTCTGCAGTTTTAAAGCATTACAGTTTTTTCGCATCTACCTTCCTGCTAAATTTCTCTGTATGGATTGTCATTCCACTTACAGTATGCATAGCTCTGTTGGTGGGATTGTTTCATGTTTCCTCTTCTTTGCCCACTGGACCACTATTCCAAAATGTATCCCTATATGCCAAAACGTGTGTGATTGGCCCTGTCCAAGAGTGCCTCAGTTGTGGAGGCTGGTCCTTTAAAGGAAATGCATTGCAGAACAGAATGTGATACAGCATATTGTGAATTATTCATCTCTGAATTCTGCACTTGCACGCTTGTGTTGTGATCTCAGCTGCAAATAAATTTCTTGCACTGAGATCAGATCCAGAATTTTAGTTGTGGTACTTAACGTAGTTTATAGTCACAGGGGCTCCCCAGATGCTTAGGTATCCTGCCAGAGAAGGGCTTAAAGTACTTGCTTTAGGTTTTGGATTCGCTTTCTTAGTTTCTCATCCTTCATTTTAATGTGCAGAGGTTCTGTAATGAGAGTTGTTTAAAGATAACTTGAAAACAATCAGTAAATATGTCCATATGCACAATAACACTTTGTCAACCTCTCTATCAATTTTTATTCAGCTTAAGGCAGAAGTGGCAAAAGAAGTGGCAAATGCAAGAAGAAAGCAGCACCTTTCATCTCTGCAATATTACTGTGCCCTGAATGCTCTGCAGTACAGGAAGAGAGTGGCAATGATGGAACCTATGCTGGGATATACACGAGGACAGGTATGGACAGTAAAGCGTCTGTGTCACTTAGACATGTCCCTGGGAAAAGGAAAACATTGTAGCTCTGGATTTTTTTTTGAGAACCAACAAATGATAACTGGGGGGGATAACTTCTATTCAGCTTGCCTAGATTCTAATAACTGATTTTGTTTATGGCAGATGGTTGAATGTTTAGATATTCAGGAAAGGCACCAATGGAAAAAAAAACAAAACAGTGCACTTATATGCAAAATCAGCCTGGGGTTAATTTTTTTCACAGCTAAGCTATCAGTGCAGCAGCATTTACTTCCACTGTTTACTCTGTCTGCACAAACTCTCCAATGTAGCAGTTCCCTTCCTGGCACATAATGTTCAGCATACTGATGAGGAGCCTGCACAACAGGGAACAGAGCATGCACTGGAGAACTGGGAGGACAGAACAGTAGAGTGGGTTGAGCATAAAGCTGGCAAATCCTCTTTCTAATCTTTATTCTGCCAGCAATTTGATAGACCATTTCTCATGTCTGTAAAATGCGGTAGTACTACTGATAATCTGACTCTCCCGGATGTCAGGAGGATCAAGAAACTAGTATTTTCACAGCACTGGATTCTCATTACCATCCATTTTAAGGGTCTGTTGTGCTTCAACACTGATGAAAGAAAGCATTGGGAAAATGAGAATTGGGCTGTGAAAACAGGAAAGGAAAAAAAAAAAAGGATGCAGTGCTCTGTTTGAGATTCTAGTGTGAATCATCATCCACATTGTCCTGTGTCTTTTGCAGATCATGTGCCACACATACTACAGGTAATAAATGAGAACTCAGTCACTTTCCCCACCACAGGAGTTCACACTGCTTCTCTGCTATAATTACACTGTGAAAGAACTGCGTTGGTTTGCTTTACTGGAAGCCAAACAGAACTTTCTTTACCTGTATTTTATCTGACAAAACTACCGTATTTCAGTGCTTTATACAGGAAGGTCTTAGGTTGTTGTGGGAATAACTAAGTAGCCAGAAACCAGTTGATATTGATGCTTAAATACTGTGAACCGCCCTTGGGCCCAAGTATCTATTTTCTTTCTTAATTACTCAGAACACGTGTGTCCTATTTCACATTTCCAACAAATGAGCCAAGCCATAAGGAATTTTTGGAAGAAGCAGTGGCTAATACAGGGTTTATTTGACTGAAAACTGACATTAGCATCTAAGCTAGGCGTGTCAGTCTATCATCAGTGGAATTTAGAGCTCTTCCCTTCTGAAGTAGGCTTCTGAATTAGAATAGGTGAATCATTCTTTAAGAGAATGTGCTTTCTCTCCTTTGTCTGTGAAGGGAGTCTGTGGCCAGTAACATCGTATCAGAAATCTGAGATAGAGGCAAGAGAAATCCCACATCCCAAGGTTAGGGAAAAGGAGTGGAATCACAATTCAAACTGGGTGAAATAGCTAATAATTTGCTTAACAGTGGAGAATTTGCTTCTACATTTCTTTACGGAGTAGTTTGCTGACTTTTTTTTTTTTTCAGAAGCCCAGTAGTTGCACACACGTGCTAGCCCTGCCCATATTTGACACAGTTGCCAGTAGGTCCTAACAATGACTGTATGCCCCACAGCAGGTAATCCAAGGTCAAGTCTACACTGAGTGGTTTGCTGCTGTTGTGTGCCTGCTGAGCCATACCAGCTAAGTGAATTCGTCGTCTGCCACAAAATGTGCGCGTTGGCCTTCATGGCTTTAATTAGCTCCTTCAGTAGAACGAAACCCGTGGTAAACTTGTAGTTGATGTCACTGATTATCCTGGAGGTTTCTGCTAGTGCAGCTACATTTCATCACTTTCGTGACTGATTTTGCTATAGCAGTTAAAAAATTTCCAGGTTGGGGTTGGTAGTCCAGGTTGGACTACTAAATCTAATGGATGATGTGTGTCCTGTTCCTTTGGATATGGTGGCACTGCGCGCAGTGGCCGATAACACCACCAGACCCGATGCAGCAGAGTGCTAGCATGGGAGAAGGCTGCCTGTTCCCTTGTTTCAGTCATTTAGCAAGTCTGTTGGAAACGTAGCTGTCAGCAGCCAATAGCTTACGTGTGTGTAAAAGTGTGCGAAAGGGTGGAAAGTTACAAAAGCGAGAAATACAAAGAAAGGCACCGCAGCTGTTTAGACCATGTGTTTGATCGCCAGCCAGAAGTATCAGTCATGGGATGGCTGCTGACACAGTCCCAGAATCTGTTATTTGTCTGCCGATGCCAAGATGACTGCCAGTGTCCGTGTCCATGTTTTTGTTTTTATATTTTTCAGATCAACTTTTTTAAGAAAGGAGCAGAGATGTTTTCCAAAAGAATGGACAGCTTTTTGTCATCTGTTTCAGACATGGTTCAAAGGTAACGCAATACTTTAGCACTGTAACCTTCAGCACGTAACAGAGAGTGTCTCTGTTTTTTTTCTCACGAGAGTCCTTCCATGCTTGCGTTGCATTGTTGGGCATATTTTGCTAAGGCAGCAGGTGGAAAGGAGGTATAATTGTACATGTAGAGCAGAATGCTGTCAGTGCACTGCAGAGAGTATTTTTACAGTATAGCCAGGAACTATATACTGTAAAGTATTCACGTGCTTTCTTACATCCCTGTGTCTCTTCATGGACACAAAGCATGGAATTTGGGCTTGAAATGGATTAACAGAATTAGTATAATAGAGAGCTGAAGTGCGTTCTGAATTAGAGGTATTTATACTTGTTGGGTCTTCTGTAATAATACTGTAACAGTAACCTATGAACCTCCACTTTTGTAAATTTTGTGATTATTTTTTATTTCCCCTTTCTACCTCCCCAGCTGGAATGAAGGTTGACATTTTCATTATAATTAAGTCCCTGTGAATGTAAACTTTACGCTTAAAGTGTAATCATATTAGAGAGAACATCAATCATTTATTTTAAATCAGCTGGAACACTAAAAAGAGTCCTTCACTTTATTGCTTCATACTTTTCATATTGGACTGTATCCAAATCATTACTTATTCTGACTCTGGTGGCATTTTAAATAATGCATACTTGTTAATTTGAGAACAGTGTTATGAGTAAGCTGCCTGTATAATAGATTCTTTCACTAAATGATTCTTTACTTCCTGTACCTCTATACTTACTTATATATCTTTTCACACTGAATTCTGAAATAAATCCCTCCATAGTCTCCATAGCATTTGTACAGACTGGAGGGCAGATATTGAACTCCCTTGAAATAGTGCCTTTTATTTAGTAAGGCTAGAGTACATTGCTTGTGCCTTGTAGGTACAGTGAAGATCCTGCCGTTGGATCCTCACTGTAGAATAAGCCCTTTTAATCCAAAGTCTGATAGATTTGAATTCTGAATAGTACACAGTAGTAAATGGAAGCAAAAGTAGGCTGCTCAGTTGGTTTGCTGAGTCTGGTTTTTGTGTTTTTAAGTCTGTCGCACAGCAAAGCTTGAAAGTACAGCGCAAATGTAACTAGTACAGGAGTGTGAGATCTTTGGACAGTACAAAACAGAAGCTTGCAAAGTTCTGAGTGACACCGTGCAGCTTACCAAAGACTGACACAAGACATGGTTTCATGACTGAAGATTATACAGCCACTGAAAACCGTGCTGCCCACCCCTTTCCTTCTTTAGTGCTGGGGATCACAAGGCCTCAGTGAGTCAGATCTGCTTGCTAATTAAGCTAAAAGCTTTTTATTTGTCAGATTTGTTTTCCTGGAACAACAAGGCAATGAGACCCATTGTGCAGTTACAGAGTTTCAGCAGTCCTGTAGTCTTCCATCTCTTTAAGCTGGTTGTGAAACTGAGTCTTCATATGTAAAAGTATTTTCATTTATACAGTCAATATTACTAACAGTGTGAAAACACATAAGAGATCATTAAAAGATTTTCAGTAGCCAATTGGTCTGATTGTCACAGATGCATGTAATTTCAGAATTGCCAGCTTTTCTCTCCTTTCTACCTTGGAGATAAGAGAAACACACCTTAGGAAGAGAAATCCAGGCTTGGGAACCACAAGGATGCCAGGGCAGTTTTGTCAGAAGCAGTGTGTGGTGCAACAGAAATGACTGATCAGAAGATTCGTTGAAGTAGCACTTATGTAAAAACTGACAGCACTGTTTCATTTGATTTCAAAATGGAATTTAAATAATTCTTATTCTGACATTTAATGATAATGTTGAAAGGCACTAGCTTGCCAAATATGGTCTAATTTAATTCAGATCTGATGATGTTACTCAGCCTTTATAACTTAGCCACTTGTATGACTTGGCTAGGTGGTAAGATGCACACAGCTGGTCTCAGTTTGGAGGTGATGTGCAAGCTTAGGAAGTCTCAGCTTTCTAAAAATGCAGAAAAGCTGTAAATAAGCTAAAATGAAACAGAACAACACCATGATGCAAGAGTGACTCTTCATCTGGCCAGTCAGATACTGCTTAGTGCTGACTTAAATGCAGCGCTGTGTCTCCAGGTTACTTCGACAGTTACAGGATATCACCAGCTTCTGCAGAAGACTGGGAAGAACAAGAGCAGAATCCTATATTCTTGCCATGTCCTTTTCCACAGGCTTTTTGCCACCGTCAGAGGCAGTGTAGTGGACTGTATGGATCTATGGTCCCACTGTGTACAGCCTGTGTTGTACTCGTGTTCTCCAAAAGATTTAACCACTTGGGCAGACGTAGGGAGAAAGTTGCTTATTGCATAGGTGCAGGTATTAATAACTTTCTAAGGTATGCAACGACAAATATTCTTGTGTTCCCATGCCAGGAGTTTTCCTAGTACCCTCAGTACAGTTAATAACTCCTGAAGTTTGGAAAAGTTAAGAAAGAAATCAAATATTTGCTAGCATTGTTTTTCTGAAAGTCAAAGAAGAGCTGGTGCAGTATGGACCTCCAGAGGTCATCTAGTCCACCCTCCTGCTGAGAGCAGGGTCAGTTAGCGCAGAGTGCTCAACACTGTGTCCAGTCAAATTTTGAGCATCTCTCTCTGTCTCACGCATGGCACACACAGTGTCTGGTTACAGCTTGTGTCCGTTGTCTGTCATCCTGTCACTGCGCACCTCCAAGACGGGTCTAGCTCCATCTGCTGTATACACTCCCATCAGGTAATTAAGTGAGCAGTAAGATCCTCCCCCCTTAGCCTTCATTTCATGAGGCTGAAAAACAATTCTCGCAGCTTCTTCTCATGTCACATGTTCTGGCCCCCTAGCCGTCTTGGTGACTCTTTGCTTGACTTTGTCTTTCATGTGCTGGGGCACCAAAACTAGACACAGTCCTCCTGCTGGAGTCTCACAAGTGCTGAACAGACACGAGTAATTACTTGCTTTGACCTGCTGGCTGTACTCCTGCTCATGCAGCCCAGGATGTGACTTTTTTTTACCACAAGGGCTTGGTGCTGGCTTATGGTCAATTTGTTCTCTGGAACCCCGAGGTCCTTTGCTGGGTCTTGCTTTCTATCCAGATGCCTCCTGTCCTTTAGAGTTGCATGGAGTTATTCCATCCCAGGCAGGACTTTGTCTTTGCTGAACTGCATGATGTTCCTATCTGCCCAGTTCTGCAGCATGTCAAGGTCCCTCTGAACAGCAGCCCTTCATTCCACCATATCTGTCAATCAGTCTTCCCAATTTGGTGTCATCTGCACCTATGGGTTGTCCAGCTCTTATTAAAGACTGTAAACCTGTAAGCCTCAGTATTGACCCATGAGGAACTTCACTAATGGCTTGGATACCAGTTGGGCTTGTCTCACTGATCACAACCCTCTGAGCTCAGTGGTGCAGCTGTTTCTTCTGTCCATCTTGTAGCTGACTTCTCCAGTTTGTATTTCACTAATTTGGCTATGAGGATACTGTGGGTACCACTCATCTCCCGTCCACCAAGCTAGTCATTGCATCACAGAGGGCAGTCAGAATGGTCAGGCGTGATTCATCCTTTGGCAAATGTCTGCTGGCTGTTCCTCGTTGCCTTCTTGTCCTTCGTGTGTTTGGAAATGGCTGGAGAATTTGCTCCGCAGCTTTCCCAGGGACTGAGGTGTGGCTGAGTGGCTTGTAGTTCCCCAGACTGTTTTTCTTGCCTGTCTCAAAGGTAGGTGTCACACTTGCCTTTTTTTCAGTCACTAGGAACCTTCGCTGACTGCAGTGAACTTTCGAAGATTATAGATAGGGAAATCAGCCAGCTCCCTCGGGACCTCAGTTCACAGACACGTAGCCAGACCTGGTTCACAGAAGGGCAGTGCAAACAGATGGTCTAAAAATGTTTTCTACTTCCTTGTCCACAGATGCGCCAAATAGTGCTTGCAGCTGACACAGAGATCCAAGCCCTTTTACGTGTAGTTTATCTAATAGCTATTTTTTTAATTATTGTATTACGTCGCAGTTTCAAAATGGCAGACCTTTAGTTGCTTTCTGATTATGCCCATTGTGTTGATGTGTATTGAGCAGAAGAGTCTGCAAGTGAAACACAGACTTACTAAGGTTGATGGAAACAAGGCAGGTTTATTGGTGATGGGACTGTCAAGCGGTCTTTGGGAACCTCTGAAAGCCCAGTGGCTCCAGTGACTGTCTGACACTGGAGGTGAAAAGAAAATGAAGGTATTTCACTGGCATATGATGACTCTGACCTCCCTTTGCTTCCTTATTCCAGTAAAATGGCTGCTCTGCTTCCCCCTTTACACCAAATGTGTCTTGTAGTGATGTGTCTTAGCGTAACATTATTCAAACATAGATGTTAAGCACTGCAGTATATATGCATATGATGCTTCTGCAATGAATTACCATTTAGTTTCTGAATTTTGCACTCGGATATCCTTTTACAGTTACCACTTTCAAAAAACTGGATTTTTACAGATATGTTTAAACCAGCTCAGTTTTGTCCCTTTGCACCAAGAATGTTTTCTGAATCGCACCAAAGTGGAAGACAGTATTATGAACAAAAATTAGAGCTAAAGTGAGACTTGAACTATAGATTTTGTTATTGTATTGTTCTGAATTCATGGAAAACTTACTGTTGAAAATCCATGACCAGTTAATAGGTGGTCTCATGGCAGGAATTCCTGCATGTTACAGCATTGCAGGAATTAGACAAAGTTCTGGGAAAGCCAAGAGATACTGTAGTAAAGCCTGCTTTGAACTGTGCCGCTGTATAGGGCAACGTCTATATATGTTCAGCAGTGTAAATTCGTACAAGCATGTCTTTTATAAGCTGTCTGTCTCAAAAAATAAACTGAAGTCTTCACTCTCAACACATCAGCATTTTTCGCGTGCTTGTGTCAGTCTTACAAAAGTCTCATAATTCTGATCATTATCTCTATTTCTCTGAGGAAAGAAGGTAACTACGTTTAGTACAGTTGCAAAAAAGAAAGCATAGCTACTGTACGACACATGTTGAGAGTAACATCTTCAAGCTGGGCTTTCAAAATAAAGAGCAAGGGGAAATCCTGGCTGTGCTTTTGCTGCCAGCCTGCCAAAGATAGCCATCTTTTCCTTAAGCCATCCCTAATACCTTCAGAGCAGGTGCATCTTGTCTCTTCAGGCTCAGGTGACATTGTCTGGGAGTAGTTCCCTATTGTCTGCCTCTTCCTTCCATTCTTTCCTAACTGCACTGATTTGTCTAGTCCTTAGAGAAGGACTTGGATGTGTAGTCTTACGTTGTATTTCCTATAGAGTTTATTCTAAAAATAAACTTTATTGTTGCACTACTCTCCAATATAATCCCAACTGGTATTTTTGTTCATTTTGGGTTACAGATGTTAGCTATGTCTTGGTATAAATTGACTAATGGTGCCTTCGGGTTTCTTGTTTTTTCCAGCATACAGGGAGAGCTGGATGCTGAAGCTGAAAAAATGAGGGTATCCCAGCAGGACTTAACTGCAGTTAATGAATCTGTTTACACCCCAGATTCTGATGTAACTTCACCTGTTATCAATAGAAATCTCATCCAGAAGGCTGGCTACCTTAATCTTAGAAAGTAAGAAGACTGTTGTTACCTGCTGGTTTGTTTAGTTGCTAACTAGTCGCTACATTTTTTTTTTTTAGGTTGTAAGGACTCCTCAGGTAATGATTGAGGCTCCTGAATCACTGTGGCAGCTGTTTTCTGAGTATCTCTGTCATCTGTGGAAATGTGTTTTAGAAGCTTAAACCAAATTAGAGGCATTTGTGACTGTTTTCCTGAAAACAGAAGTTTACTTCTGTTTGAATTCACCTACAGGGATGATTTCCTGTGTTCAGGTGGCTAAAAATTAGAAACTGGTGGGGCTGGGTTCAGATTGTTCCCAGTTCTCAAGGCTAATGAAGACATAGTGTTTACAAAAATAAACAGCTATATTTTGTAGTTAACAGATGTTTTCATAAATTACTTCCTTTACATAAACAAAAGCTTTATGGACAATGCAAGTGTGTAACTTTTAATGTGTGCCATACGTAGAGTTACCTCTGCAGATTTTCCAAACAAAATCTTGCATCAGCTTCCACAGGAGCTATGTATACTGATGGCATATAGTAACCCTATGTATGTGATTGCTTAAATACCATTTTATTTCTGTTTGACTAGTAAATTTTTTTTTGTGTGAGTGGACATTTATTAATTTCTCATAGCATTCTAAGAGCTGGATTACAATGTAATGGGACTCCATAGATAGGGAGAAGATGGACTCTGAGATACTGCTTGCAGAAGATACTTTTTTTAATGATGATTCTTTGTGCTGAAGTTGCTCATGCTGCTCTTCAGCTTGAAAATAGTTGTTTTTTTTTAAATCCAGCGTAATAGTATTTTGTGTAAGTTAACTCAATATCAATAATTCTTTTATTCCTTAACTAGGAGACACTGCAGAGAATGTTTTGAACTTGCTATGTTTGGAATTAGTTTACTTCTTCAGCTTTCATTAAGAATTAGTCTCTGCTAGGACTAGGTGCTACTTTTCCTTCTTAACGGACACTCATCATTAAAAAAAACTCCATGAAGTTCAGATTAGCATCAGACATGTTTGCAGTTTCATATATGTTTGGAGTAATTTCTAAATAGTAATCAGTCTTTATCACTGCATCTTCTCGTTAGTAAAACAGGACTGGTGACTACAACTTGGGAAAGACTGTATTTCTTCACTCAAGGTGGCAACTTGATGTGTCAGCCAAGGGGAGCAGTAGCTGGAGGCTTGATTCAGGACCTGGACAACTGCTCTGTTATGGCTGTAGACTGCGAAGATAGAAGATACTGCTTTCAGATCACTACTCCTACAGGCAAAGCGTACGAGACAGGTTTTATTTGAGGACAGCCAGTGACATCTGCCCTTTCAGATGCTGTTTCATGTCAAACATGCTATAATAGTAAGCCTTTCTGGGCTTCCAGAAGGGCGTTTCCAAATCATAAGCGTGTTCCTTTCCCATCCTCCCCCACAACTGCCTGAAGAGCGCATGTGGTGTCCTTTATCTGCAGCTTATTTGTGATTTTTTTGTTCCTTTGATGGTTAATAGATACAAAGCTTGGTGATGTTATTGTAAGAACTGGAGTCAAACAGTCCTGGTGTCCACTGTTAGCACTGATCCACTATGTTTATATTTTAGGGGTATAACCCTCCAAGCAGAAAGCAAGAAAGAATATGAGGAGGTAAAAATATTTTCTTAATGCTGTTATTCTTGTATACAAGTGAGCTTGAAGAGTTCAATTTTATTTTTCCCTTCCAGTGGATATGTGCCATCAACAACATCTCCAGACAGATCTATCTCACTGACAATCCAGAGGTGGGAGCTTGTTTCCATCCTTCAGCCTATTCCTTCCAACTTGCTTTCCCATTGTTCTTTACTTGGCAATGTAAAGTATGTGTGTAAAAGAGCTGTTCGGTCTTGTTTTCATAGGCAGCCGCAATCAAGTTAAATCAGACAGCCCTACAAGCCGTGACTCCCATTACCAGCTTTGGGAGAAAACATGAAGTTCACCACCCCAGGTACCGTTCTCACTTGCGTGGACTAGAGACAGTGTGCTGGCTCAGTCGTGCCCTTCTTGCAGGCAACAGTCAGCCGGAAGAAAGCCCTGTCGAGGCCCTGGCTTTGCAAGCCTGTGTGTCTCTGCTTCTGATGTTTCCTACTGCAGCTGTAAGAGATGCTAAGTGTTGAGGGCAAATGCTTGTTGTTCCACGTCACAGCTTTGAAGCGCCCTGTGGTTGCCATGGCATTTTGCCGTTTCCAGAAACAAACACAATGCTGTATTTGTAAGTGCTTTGCTGTAAGTGAGCAACTTGTAATGTGGGCTGTGATTTTATGATACTAACGCAGCAGAGTCTCCAGCCTATGTTGAACAAGTATATTCTCACGTATTAGCTCAAGCAGTGCCTGTCAGTCTGGCACAGGAATGTGCCTTACACAGCTGTCAGAGTAATGACTGTTGTTCTCTTGTACTCATTCAGGTCAATCAATAAAGCTCCCCTCCTTCAAAAATTGTTAATAATGCTCTAGGATATGCTTATATTCAGAACACATATTTTGTGTTTCATTTCTTTATGTCCATATGATTCTAGCATCTTGCTCAGTGGGAATTCTTCAGACTTCATCAGAGTTGGCTTTCAAGCCGAGTGCTGGACTGAAATCTTGCTTTCAGAAGCAGTGTGATAAATAAAATGGGGCAAGTTTGTGTCACGCTGACTTCAGCGTGAAGAGACTTCTTTGCAAGTTTTGTCAAAAAATTGTGAATTCTTACTTGGATATTTTCAAATTCTCAAAGCTTTTCCAGATCTTCTGTCTCTCGGACCAGTGCCTTCACTGCGATTTATGATTCCCTTTGTTATGACTGCGTACAGATTACAAAGACTCCCTGTAGCCATGGGGAATGCCAATTTCTCTCTAATTTTATTCAGTACAGCTGTTCCTCTTTGATTACAGATCTATAAACAGAAGAGTATTGCCTGTATTTCACTGGGCAAAGGAAATAGCTATTTCATTGACAACTGATCTCCCAAGTCACTTTTACATCTGCACACAACCAGAAAGCTTTCTAGAAGCAGAAGGATGCAGCTAGTAAAGGCAGTGTACCACATACAGTGATGTGTATAGTTATGGCGTCTGTTGCTGTGGGAAACGCACCATTTCATTCTCGTTGAGAAAAGGTGCAGGGAGAAATCTGACCCAGTGTGTAAAGCTTCTTCTCGGCTATCACCTTGTAACGAGCCTGAGGCCAAGTGAGGTCTTTGAAAGATGCCAGGATTCCCTTGGCACTGGCAGACCCAAGTGTGAACTGGTCATGCGGCTGGAAATGTGGCCGCTAGCGGCCAGGGAGGCAAACGGCACCCTGATGCTCAAAGTCTGCCTTCAGGTTTAATACACCAGCATTTACTCTTTTCCTAAATAATTCTAGGTACAAAAAAAAAAACGAAGCTTTTGTTAGAGTCCGCAGTAACAGGTAAATAGGAAAATACTTTTAAGTTTATGTGTACTGGGTCAGTCCCGCTTTGGATTTTTGAACAATCTTGCCTGTCTTCCAGAACAAAGATACGGTGTCATTGATTGAAACATTTTTTTCCATTTTCACTTTAGCCAGAATGTAAAAAATACGGAAAATGATAAAATAATTCCCAGTGAATCAGCTGGCATTCAAGACTTCACACAACTCATTGCTCCTGGAACACCGATTCAGTTTGACATCGTACTGCCTGCCACAGAATTCCTGGACCAGAACAGAGGTGGCAGGTACGGCCAGAGACAGTGATCAGTCACGTTAACACGGTGGTTTCAGGGGAGAAGATGGGTATTGCGGCATGTGTGTGTGGTGACCAGAATCTGTAATTAGAGTTTTTATTCTTCCTTCATAGGCGTGCAAACCCATTTGGGGAATCTGAAGACAGCAGCAAAGATGAGGAGGAAGGTCAGTGCTTCATTTTTCCGGATAAGATTAGTCATGATTTTAGGCCTAATTCAGCTGTTGGCTATCCAGTGTCTCTTAATGAAAGCACCTGACACCATGGAGCAGCGGTACCAGATCCGTAGTGCAGTTGCAGGTAGCTGCCTTTAAAAAGCCAGTCTTTTAAACATCACTGCCTGTGAAAACAATCACTAATTTCCTTGACAGTCCAAGCTTTATTCAAAATTAAGTTTATTTCAGATGTTTAAAGGCAAAAAGATTTGCTTTGCTTGTTTTTTGTTTTTCATTTTTTTTAAAAGAAGTAGCTCTTGACTTCTTTAGAAAGGGTTGGGTGGGACTGTATTATAATTCTGCTTAAGTCTGAGGCTGCTCAGTAGCCATTTCTTACCTACATGCAGTCTGAAATCCACAATCTAAATCTGAGAGGCCCAACACGCAGCCAGCAGCAGCAACGTGTCTCTTTCAGCAAAGGGGGGGTTTCTTGCTGCTGCCCCCTTTCCCTCCTCCCAGCGACACGCCAGTAAAAGTCAGCAGTTCTGACTTTCCTCTACCAGCATGCGCAGCGCTCAGACCCTGGCTGTTCCCCTCTTCCTCTGTGCCAGTTCCCACTGCTCTCAGGAACCCGCAGCCCCCATCTGAAAACTGCTCCCAGAACCGAAGCAGAACCCGTTGCTCTGAACGCTGTCACTTGGGCGTGCTGTCCGGGTGCGAGGTGGGGTGGTTGGGGGCTGCCTGACGGCAGGGGTGCTGCGCGGGCCGGGACCTCCGCGCTGG